ATGTTTGATATTATTAAAAAATTAGCGATTTTTTCTCCCTGGAGCAAATTAAAAAAAAACCTATTTACAAAAAACCAATATTACATGGTTGGTATGAATGTTAATACATTGTATGTCTCCCAGACGATGCAATACAGTCCGTAAAACGCCTAGGCATGCTGAGTATAAAATTATCGATCTGATCTTGGGGGATATTACGCCACTCAAAAAGCAATGCTCTCCGAAGTTCCGGTAGACATGCAGGAGGAGGTTGACGGGCTGCAACTCGTCGGCCAAGCATGTCTTACACGTGCTCTACTGGATTTAAATCCGGTGAGAATGATGGACCTTCCATACGGGAGATATCCTCTGATTGAAGGCATTCGCTTACGATTTTTGCACGGTGAGGACGGGTGTTGTCATCGATAAACACAAATTGTGCGCCCATTGCACGCCGAAACAAACGTACATGTTGTTCCAGAATGACGTCCCGATAGATTTGGCTTGTCATGGCTCCAATTTGAACATGCAGGTCAGTTCTGAAACCCAGAATAATTCCACCCTAAACGAGCACTCCTGCACCACCGTAACAGTGTCGTTCAATGATGTTTTCTTGGTGGTAACGGGTACCTGGAGCTCTCCATATGAAAGTCCGGCGAGAATCAGACTGCAAGCTAAACCTGGACTCCTCGGGAAACATCACACAAGCCTACTGTTGCGGTGTCCACAATGCATTCTCTCTACTCCAGGCTAACCGCAGGCGAAAGTGAGTTGCAGTAAGTGGAACGCATCTGACAGGTCTACGAGCATATAGACCAATCTGCCCTAAGCGTCTGTACACGGTCTGCCTTGAAACTGTCGTACCAGTGGCTGAAGAGAGCTGACGAGACGGGTCTGAGACTGTGCTCCGCCTGTCTCTTTTGGCAGTAACTGCCAAATACCGGTCCTCATTCGGCGTTGTAACTCTGGGCCGACCTGTGCTGTAACGTCTACTCACATTACCATCATCTTGGAATCGTTGCCAAAGCCTGGAGATGACACTCTGGGCAATTCCAAGTTCGTATGATACTTCCAGTTGGGTACGCTTACATTCCAGACGGCTGATAATTCTACCACGTAAAAAATCATCCAAATGCGTCCTTTGTGTCATAACTATTCGGTTATTGCACTGCAATGCTTATAAAGCGCCTGCGAAGAATTTTACTTCTTTGCCTGTATTCGTTATATATCACTCTCTTACACTCTCGTCATTGGGACGTACCATCAGTGTCATCTGGTCACTTCCTGAAATTTGCATATAATTCTTGAAGATGTGTGTTGTGATTTTACAGGTGATATATTTATTTTAGAGTTCGATTTTCGCGTGACTCCGAATTATCCTTAATTTATGGACATGAGTGTAGAAAATTATGAAATATAGCACTTAGAACCGTCACAAATAAGACTGGTAATTCAAAGTCACTGGCATTGCAATAATCGTGTTCATTGTTTCAATATGTACTTTTCTTAGACGTCAAAAAAAATCAATTTAACGAAATGTTAAGTTGAAGTGCTCTTAGGGTTTTTTAGATTAACTTTAGAATGAATCGAATGATGAAGAATGCTGAAAAATTCGAGTTTTTCGAATCCCAAATCTTTTGCGAGGCTCATGGGATACGATGAATCGGTTGTTTTTTTCTATTGTATGTATAAAATAAATGTTTAATAATGCCCCTCTAATGATTTTTTAATGAAAAATTCGAATTGGGCTACGCAGCTTTATATTATTATCCTGCAATATCAAGATTTAACATACCTTAATTACTTTCTTATTTTTTATGTTATTATAATACATGCGAAATATTTGTACATGAAATTACTGTTTTATTTAACTACTGTTTCGTTCAACATTCTTTCAAATTTTCTCAATCGAAAATTTTCTACTTTTTAGAACGAACTGATTTTTCTTCAATTAATACTTGTTTTCCACCTCGAAAAATATATATAGCCCTTCTACAACACAGCATCCTGTAACACGATTTCGCCATAGTACGATTAATACATTGCGGGGACTCTTCTACAACACGGCATCTTATAATACGGTTTTGTTTGAATACCATAAGCAAATCTCAAGAAATCTCAAGAACTTTGACGAACCAGGCACGAGGTTTTTCCGTATTGAGCAAAGCACCTAGATAATCATTTAACACATAAACACCCAGTTGTCTTCCAAGATTCGGTTCCCATAAAAACAAATTTCCTGAAGGACACGAGCCGCGTGGTGGAGAGCGACTGTTGAATTTTTAACCTGTAAAAGAAGAAAATCGTTTCCCTCCATGACCTTCAAAATATAGCACAATAAAAATAATGGACTGTGTCGAGAAAGCGCAGCCATCAGATAAAAATGAAGAAACCTCACTATAGCAGAAGGTGAACTACATGAGGTAATAATAAGGGATCCAAAACGCTCAACCAACACATTCGGCTTCCAACATTCGAATCCTCATCTCCGTGCTCTGGAAACTAAAGTATCTTACTATGGTGGTCGGCAGTCTACCTTGATCCACGGTCTATTAAAGAATAACATTTTCATCTTTAAAGATAGTCCCAAACTATGTCCGTTACAGATAAAAACAGATAACGTTTAAAAAGAAATTAATTTTTTAGAAGAAAAGACACAGATCTTGGATCTTATTTTAAAAGTAGAAAAGGCATCTCAGATTGGAACAAGTCTTAATTTGAAGGAAGCAAGAGTCCGGACTCGGACTATTAAGAAATATGAAAAAGAAATAAGAAATGCAGTTGCTGCAGAATCTTCGACTCCCGCAAAACGCCCCTTGGACTCCAATAATTGAGAAGATGGAACTGGCAATCAGCATTTGGACTGGTGATAGCTGTCAAAAAAGAATTCCATTGGATGGTAATATGATTAAACAAAAGGACACAAAATTTACAAGCACCTTAAGAACATGAAGAATCCTTAATCAACCCAAATTTTAAAAAGCGTTTTGTAGTTCATAACGTCAAAGAGAATCATTCATAGCGTCAGGAATCCAAGCAGAATCTGCGTCGACTGATCACGAAAGTGATAGAACGTATCCAGAAAAACTAAAAACATTATTAAATTATTATTATTAAAGGAGAGCAAGGATAAGCATGAGATCAAGTTTTCAATGCAGATGAAATTGGGGTTTGGTGGAGCAAAGTGCCCAGTAGAACCTTTATACAGGAAAAAAAAAAACTGCACCGAATTAATCTGTCTAAAGATCGTCTAACGCTACTTTTGTGCAGTTGTGCATCGGGGACTTGATGACAAAAACCCTTGCTTTTAATTCTCGTGCTCTTAAAGGGAAAATAAAACATCTTACTGATACATTCGAAAGAAAATCCAAGAGATTGTGTAACTGGAATTCTATTTAAAGATTGGTTTTTATATAGATTTCTGCCAAACATTGAACGTTATTTACGTCAGAAAAATTTTATCTTCAAGGCGCTATTACTATTATATAATACTCTATGTCACTCACAAGTTTGAATCATCCCAACGTTAAATACTGTTCCTAACACCTAACACTATTACAACTATCGGATCAATGTATTATCTATACTTTTGAACCGCGTTATATGAGAAGAGAATTGCAGTGGGTATTAGACGTAACCGATCAGAGTCAATTAATATAATGAAAGCAATATTTCAATCAAGCTTTGTATTAACATTATATCTTTGTCGCTGAAAGAACTGAAAACGCCAACGTTAAATGAGCTTTGGAAAAAGGTATAACCTTCTATAGTTGAAATAGAAAACATTCATATATCATAAGAAATTGATATTGGTGACATATTAGGACTTGCCAAATCAAATGGAAGCGAAGGTTTTGTGGATATGGCTATTGAGAATTTATTAGTGAAACAACAAGTTGATGTGGCGTATTTGGTGGAAATAGCATCCGAAGCTGTAATTCAAACCGATTCTGAGGACACTAGTAATGATGAAGATTGTTCATTAAGATTAAGATTGTGCAGATTAACATTAAAAAATTAAAAGAGGCTAAAGCTTTAGTTTAAAACTTCGAGTCATTTTACTTGAATGTAGACCCTTCCTCTGAAAGAACCCGAAATTAAAAAAGGAGTTGCAAAATTGTCTAGATCCATACCGAGATATTCACAATGACCTGGTAAAACCCAGCAAGCAAAGTAAAATTACAGATTTTGTAAAGAGAAAAGTAGATGGAAGAACTTAAAGTGAAGAAAAAAAGTTCTGAAAGTGAAGGCGATATCATTCCGCTAAAAAACATTCTCGGTTGGTTATACTGAGCAGTGGCGACGAAGAAATTTAATTAATGAAAGTTGCTTTAAATTAAAATAATATTTTTTGTTTTGTGTTGTACATACATTTATACTTTAGATAAAAATTAGTTGTTAATGACGAATTAAAAAAAAATATTTGTTTTTAATAAGCTTTCATAACGTAACCCCCCTTTTTATACTGGCTCTTTGTCTCATGCAGCACCGTTTCACACAGCGCAGCATTTTCTAATAAACTCTGCGGTGTTACAGGAGGATTATTTGTAAATGTTTTCTTTCTATTTAAGGTAAGCTCACATGTACAAATTTCAAAGAACTTATACGTTCTAGAACATATAATTCTATGTATAGATTTCTGATTTTATCTTTTATTTAAATTCAAACCTATCTGATGTAATGCTTTAAATTAGGCTTAGCTGCATTTGAGTGCATAACCCTGAATTTGCAACGGCAGAAAAAATATTTTCTTGTTTATGAAAAGGCTCTTTTTTTTTGGTTGCCAGATTAATTACACCATTACTTTATTTTGGGGTTATTATGAAAAATTCATTTGCTCTGTTTCTTTAATTAGCTTAAAAATAGTATGTATTTCTTTCACTTGTTATTTCGTTATTTAAATTGCACATTTCCTTTATTTTGTCATTATTATTTTGAGTGGTGAATCATGGGATTAAATTGTTCCTGAAACTTTCATGAAGATGGATTGCGTTAAAAACCTTTTACTCACTGAACATTAATTCATTAAAAAAAATACTTTATTTATTTTTGCTACTACGGTTTCGTAGATATACCTTTAAATACATATTCCAGCTAATCCGGGAATCAGCAAAGTAATTCTATTCTATTCTAACTTAATAAAAATAACATTTCGTACAGAAAACACGAGCAGCAGAATATAGCCTAACTGACTTATTGAATGTTGTACCCACCACTGTTATTTAAGACAAATAAGGTGCCGCACTAATTTGCAAAAGTGAGAATTTGTTAGAAAACGGAGAACTCAGTGACAGATAGAATTTCTTCTCCTAGTGCGCGAGGAAAACTGCTTATCCCCAAAATCATTTACACAGCAAAATAATGCCTTAATCTTCAAGAATAAACATAAGAAAAGTAAAGCAATCTTGGATTCGTAAACCAACTGGCTCACTGCGGCCGAGATCTTCGTTTTCATAATATAACCAAAGAGAATTTTCATAATCTGCAATCATCTAGTAAAATATCTGCTGATTGCAGAAAGATTTCATTTGTAGATAAAAATTGTCATGAAGACTTGATAGGGTGTGTTTATCCACATGCCTGGGTTCCATTTATATTAATGTCATTCGGTTTAGAAATAAGATTTCTGTAAAATAATATATAAAATAAATATATGCAAATAAAATAAATGAATATAAAATTAAATAAAATACACAATGAATTAAAATTACCTTTAAAATGCATAAATAAAAAAAATAAATAAATAAGCAAAAAACACTCTACCTATAAAAAAAGGATCGTCGCAATGGTTTACATAAATCACAGGAATGATCACTGAATATATAATCACTGAATATATATCACAGGAATGATCACTGAATATATATATCACAGGAATGATCATTGAATATATATATCACATTTATTATAAGAATATAAATAATTTTTCAGCAGGAGAGAAAAAATACAAAGATTCACTTAAAATATTTTCAGTAGAAGAATATCTAAGAAATTTTTAATTAAAAATAAGTTATTATTATCTGGAAACATGCATTGGTTATTCAAGTTAAGAATATACTATTATCTGCGCGTTAAAATACTGCATCAATGTCTTAAAGAATGAAAGTTTGACTTTGGCTAATAAATGCAATATCACATACTATATGTTTATATGGTTTAAAATAGTATTATGTATTAAATTGAAACTTCTTGCTTTGTTAATAAGAATATGAAAAAAAATATATGGGAAAGAAAAACGAAATCACGTTTTAACAGATAAAGTACAAACGTGCTTTTCCCTAACGTTACGTTTGATATAATTCAAAGCATTGAAAGTTTTCGTAAGAATTAGAAAGGATTTGACACATAAGACTAGAAAGATGGCTTTCAATGAGTTGGTTTCAAAATAATGCTTTCTTTACTATAACATCTCAGAAAAAGTTCAAAATATCTGTCGTTAAATGCGACATTATATACAGATTATTTTACGAGTTTCTATAACAATTGCTATATATATATATATATATTATAATTATACAGCTGAAAGGGTAGCGTTCTTCATAGATTAATACTATGTCATTTGGTTTCAATTCAGTTGCTTATGAATTTTGCTGGCACATATTACCAGATCTTAAATTTAATAAATAACATTTTCCTGCACATTTTGTGATAAAAAAATATGGTAATTGCTTTATTGCAATGTGATTGACGTAAATCCAAATGATGGAAATTGATAAGTATTCTTATAAACTCTAGAGTTAAGGTGGGGAGTGTTAAAAAACGCCTATAGAGGGGGCTGTACCGCGCCTGTTTCTTCAGTGTAGGATTAGAATTTGTAATAATAAGATGTGCTTAACTATGAGTAAGAATGTTTGTAAGGGAGTTGCCGACCCTAATAATTAGCGGCACAATTTACGCTCTATTTCAGTAACCATGTAAATAAATTTATGTCTTGTTATGTTTTAAATTGAACCTTTTATCGCCTATTACATACAAACTGAACCACCATGATAGTTAAAAGTTTTGGATTAGTAAAAATACCACAAGCGCTCTATCTTTTGGACTAATCATCAGCCTCCACTAGACACTTCGCTGTTCTGCTAATTGTTTATAACGTACTTAATATTTCATGAACGATTTCATCTTCAGTTCAAACATACATTTTTTACGCGAATGTGTTACTTACATATATATGCATACGTATGTATATATATAAAATCTATTTTTTACGTGTATGTTATATATATGTAATAATAAAATTCCATAGTCAAGAATACACTTAAATTTCTAACTGTATGTTCTTTTCATTTTTTAATGGCGACGTTCTCTTATTTCAAAGTACGTGGAATTAAATCCACAGCCCCGTAGTCAAGTTGTTTTTTCCCGCCTTTTCTACGCGTACAGTTATAGAATGTTCTGGAAATATTTAAAGCGAACTGGATTGGATTGGCGTCATTTCTCGGAAGCTCTGCCTTTCCAGAGGATATAAAAGGACTCGCAAAGGAATATCGGGGGCTTTTTCGTAAATGTCACGATGCAGTAAACTTCATACAAAAAGTTATTAGTAATTCTTTTTTATTTACTCCGGAGATCAGATTTTTGTAATTGCCATTTCCCCTGAAATATAATAAATGGATCCTGTTTTTTTAAACTTATCGTCTGATAATTTAAGCTACGACTACATCTATGATTCTTCACCAATCTATTTATTCCGTACAAAAGCTGGTACATCACATATATATATATGTATGTATGTATGTATGTATGTATATGTGCATGTTTGTTTATACGCAATAAAATGCACTGTTAGAGATATCAGAGTAACAAGAATGAGAGTAAGTTGCAGAAATTTTAAAGCTTAATTTCGGAAGTTTCAATAGAACTTTACTCTTCAGATGTAGGAGGGAAAAGAATGAAGTACAAGCATGGGCTTACGCGATAAAAGCAGAACAGAAAATTGAAGAACGTTTAATTGAGGTAAGAAACAACGCTACTGGAGCCATCCATTGATAAAAAGTGCAAACAGCTATGAAATACAATTAATTATTAAATTAAAAATTTGAAGATAAAAAAAGATTAGAATTGGGCATATTAACTAGAACTGAAGCATTTTTACGAATGTGAAACGCCTCTAGGAAATCTAATTCACCAATAGGAGGTGTTCTTTTTTGCCCATTTTTGACTGCAGAAATATGTAAAATGTGATTCTTTTATTAGAAACGCTGGATTATAGAAGATTTAAATGTTTGCCCCCTAACGCATGTCTCGTGCTCCTTAATGCAAAATTTCAAGCTTAAGCTACACTAACAAGGAATACTCTACGTATCCTAGGAGTTCATACCTAGAATGTAGTCTTTATGTATTGAATTTCAGGATGTGAATGGGATTTGATAACGCCAGTAGTTTTTTAATTTATGGAATTTCTGGATTTCTTTCTTAGCTGGAACTTTTTCGAATTTTGGTCGATTGTTATCGCTAGCGCGCGTGCTTTTCATTTTCTGTTTTCACTCCTACAACTGAAGATGAAATTTCTGTATAAAACTTTGAAACTAGTCCTGGAATTTTATACATTTTACGGTGATTTTTGTTGCTTTTATATCTCCATTCATTTGTTCTTCGTCTTTTTAATTTAGTTAATATTAAAATGTATTATTGTTATGTTTTCACATATATGATTTATATGAATTAAAGTGTATTAAATAAGATTAATGACATTTGAAAATGAAACTTAGTATATTATCAGCTTATTCAGATGCAGCTTATTATTTAAAATTTTAGCATTTATTTCGATTAATAAATGCTAATTAGTGGTTTGATAACACTATAAATTATATTTTTAAAAATATAATATTAAAACGAAATTAAACCATAGCAATAAAATAATCTTCCACTTTAAAGTAACTCAGTATACAGCTTCCTTAACAATATAAAATGTTCAATCACATTCTCAAGAAAATTAAATTCCTGAAAAAGTGTATCTTAATATTTTGTGCACTTACTCACCCTCTGAGACTCCTTCTTCCCAAAAATTCATCTTCGTCTTCAGAATCAACGCTGAGAGACAATGGCCACGAAGTCTGTACGAGAGACTCACGAATTAGAGAGTGCCAACCGAAACTGAAATCATAAGTATCATCAGATCGAGTGAGTCTCTTCCGCCGAACTTGGCGGATATTGTTCATCATCTTCATAGAGAAGTTGCAGCAGAAGAAAAAGTTCCGACGATGAATACGGCTTCCACTATTTCTAACTGTAAGTAAAACGCTCTTGTTTCGAAAGGCTTCTTCGATGGTTGGAGGAGATGGAAAAATCTAGGGCCATTGTTGCAGCAGAAAGGAAGCGGACGTCAAGCTCTTTTTTTAAACGATTTTTGTCTTCCAACTGCAAAAGACAGAAATTTTTATTTATTATTTTTTTTTAATTTAACTGCTTCCCCTTAAAAGTAAAGAGGAAGAGTAAGGAAATGATTCACAGAATGCCATCAGAAACGTTTTTGCCGTTAAACATATTTCGTCTGAATAATTTGCAAAATGATAATTATATTATCAATAACAAAATGAAAAAAAAATGAAAACTATATTTCTCTTTTAATGATAGCCATTAGGATTAAGAGTTGAATTTGCATTTCTGCTTCAAATTTATTAATACATATTAATTGCAGATTATCCCCACATAGCACAAAAACATCCTTGGGATACCCTGAGGATGTTGCTCACGGGATATGCGCACATCCTCAGTACATCCTGGAATATCCCTCGAACCTCCTAAGCACATACTCCCTAGTGCTTAATGTCACATCCCAGTATATCCTTAGGACATCCTAACAAAATCCCATCGACAGCGTACGGGATGTTATTAGGATATGAACTCTTACTTACTACATCCTCAGGACATCCCGGGATATCCCACTAACCTCCTAAACATATCCCATTATATCCTAAGAGCATCCTATCTGTGTCCCATCGACAGCGTATGGGATGTTATTAGGATTTAAATTCCTACTTACTGCATCCTCAGGACATCCCGTAATATCCGACTTTCCTCCTAAACTCATCTCGAGTGCTTAATGTCACATCCTAGTATATCCTTAGGATATCCTATCTAGATTCCACCGACAGCATATGGGATGTCATCAAAATTTGAAATACTAGTTACATTATCCCTTTAAACTCTTAAGTACACACTCTAAACTGCTTAATGTCACATCCCAGTATACGTATACCCAGGAAACTTCCTTACATTGCGGTGAAAGTATGTGAAGGTGTAATGATCTACAACCTACTTAGTTTACAAACATAGTCTCAAATCTTTCTCCTGTGGTTACTATGGAAAAATAAGAAATATTGAGAATATTTATAAAACTTATTTTTTCTTAAATCTGAATTTCAATTTACATAATAATTTGTAAATATATTAAAACTGAGCAAGAAACGTAAAATGAATTATTGATCATTTTTAAACATTCAGTAGCCCCAAATTGAAGTATTCATAACTAAATTATTTTACAAACTCAGTTTATAATTTCAATTAATTTGTATTAAAAATTAAATAATAAAATTAGCCATTTAATAATCTTTACAGATTAAATTAATCATCTTTCTATAATACATATAAAGAATTGTTAGTGTTTTGATCAGACCGTTGAGAAATTTAAAAGGAAATTTTATTTTTAAAACTAAATCAATTCCTAACCACAGAATAAGTAAACATGTTTTCGTAACATGAAAATACTGCAGGCTTTTTTTATATATTTAATATTGAGTTGTAAAAATTATGTTCTTGACATTGTTAACAATTATTTGCATCATTAGAAAGGTAACTCAAGAAGCTGTTCTAAAATATTATCTTTCTGCTCACACATTAAAAAAAAATCTGAAAGGACTCAGATTTTACCAGTCACTCAAAAGGGCTCAAAGTTTAATATGGTTTATCAGTAGAGATTATCAATACAGCTGGGCCAGTGGAAAAAGCAAAACATTTTTTAGGATATTGACACCAGAAAGTTATATTATCTTCTATATATTTGAAAAGTGAAGAAATATATCATGAAATTGTATAAAAATATTAAATATTTTCAATTAGATATATCATGAACTAAATTCATTTTAAATCAATCAGATTAAAAAGTAAAATATATCATGAATATTGTATAAAATTACTAAATATTTTCAATTAGAGATATCATGAATTAAATTCATTTTAAATCAATCAGATTAAAAAGTAAAAACAAAGATATTGTTAAGAACTGTGTGTATTGCTTTTAAATAGCTTGGCTTGTTAATCGATAACAGATTAGATTTTAAGGTAAATATCTTACATTTTGCCAAATGGCAAGACTTGAATGAAAAACGAAATCAGTTTACAATTGACGCTACATTTCAAATCTAATAACCTTTTGGATTAAAAAAAGTCTGAAAATAGTTTGCACTGGTTCACTGGTATAAGTTTATGCGAAATTCAATAAAATGAAATTTACCAGTTGAAATCAGCACCAAAATTAAACTTCTGGCACATGTTAAAGTTTATTTCATTCAGAATTTTATTACTATTGTAACTATTCATTTCAGAGCAAAATAAAACAGTAATTACCATTTACATGACAATTACCAATATCAGCGCCAAAAATTTAAAACTGCATTTTACGCAATACAGAAAAACTCTAAAAGAAGATCTACTGTATGTTTCCCATGCAGTTAAAGGCATTTTATTCTGTAATCAACTCCACCAGTTATTAATAGTACTTCTAAGTATATTCACTTGACTCTTTCTGCTTAATATATGCTGTGTAAAATTTTCCATAAATGTATTAATTCATTTTATTTTGAAGTGTATTCAGCTCTTAATGTCAACGAGAATATTTACTTCATTTTTATTCGCTCTCTAAAGAGAAATCAAAATATGTGGATTTATATCACGCTGAGAAAAGCACTGCTACCTTAATGTGAAAATGCAGCGAATTATAATTAACAAATAGTGAAACTAATTACATTTTATTTATGAAATATTTCACATATAACATTCTTCAGTTCCACATATGTGGCAGTTTGAGAATTTTCTACATATACAATTTTTTTAAATGTCTAATTATTTTTTTATTTTCAAGGAACGTTTAAGTATTCTTTCACCTTTAGTATATAAGTATTGTTAATTTACCTGATAAAATTACTTAATGTGGAATACAGAAAAATATCGAACCACTTACCTTTGTGATTTCATCTGCAGAGAGACTAAAAAAGTAGTTCAGCTAAACCTGTTATAATAAATATTTATAATAATGCTAAATCCTGCATTAACTATTAATATGACAAATTTTTATAAGCTATCTACTTGCATGAAAATTAACATACTCAGAAATTTATGGCACTATCTAATGATTAACAGAGGACACACACTTTTCAAAATTCAAAATAGATTTTATTAATCCAATTTATAACATTTTCTTTACATTTTTTAAAAGAAATTCATTTTATAACCTTGTAAAAGAGGACATCTGCTAGAACTCTTGATAAACTACATCTCTGTCTTTGCCTTTCACAGAACCTAAAATAAAGAAAAACACTTGCAATTACTATATGTGAATATAATTCATACTTAAATTTAAACAAATGACTATTAAATGCATGAAATTAAATACCAGAAGAATGCAAATTAAAGGAAACATTTTAACATTTATTATTTATAAACAGAGTAGCAATTATTTGATTATTCGATTACAGTAAAATAAACGTGGAGGATGCCTTTTTAAATTTTTGTTTATGTCAGGAACTAAACTCAAATCACCAGCTGAACATGTCAGTAGTTTTATCAATCAGCCACTAGTAGGCAACCTGGATGCCGAATCAATACATAAAGTTGCCAAGAGAGGAACAAAATTATAATATTTACATGTTACCTAATCATAAATCTATTTTAAATTTAATGTGTAGGCAAGTCCAAAAAGAGTGAGAAGGAATTTATTTTGCAACACGAAGTAAAGTTGTCTTGCAGGAGGGAAAAAAAAAAGAAAAAACTTTTCTCATGAGACTGGCAAATACAAAATAATGTAATTGCATCTGGTAACATTTTGCTGACAAGACCATAAGTAATTATTAGCCACGTGCAGAAAATAAAACCTGATCATGATAAGCAATATGCAATTTTAAGCTTTTGAATTTATCAGCAGAAATCTACCAAAGAAGTATATTTTATGTTGTAACAGTAGTAAATGAAGATGTGGCTAATCTTTACTATACGATAACCCTTGGTTTTTGTCTGAAAAATCGGCAGTGGTATTGGTTGTTCATGAAATCTAGAAGCCCGCTGGATGAAATAGTTTTTTCAGTAAACCTAATGTTAATAATGTTGGCGAAAGTAGCCTTTTTTTAAAGTGGAATTTTTTTTAAGTCTCTGTCATTAAAAAGGGGTTATTTCTGCGAATATTGCCAAACATGTTGTGATAAATTGAGATTTGGCTATTTTTTGTAATAGTAAAACTTTCGTATGTACCCGGGTTTTTGGTTCTTACCATTCTTTTCAATTGCTATGTTTGGTTGCACATGAGTGGTTTTGCATTTTTAACTTGCTATTATTTTGCTGCGGGTACTATCATTTGAGTATATCTGAGGTGACTAAGAGGCCAACAATATAACTGAATTGCTTACCTAAAGGATGGAGGAAATGGTGGTGGGAAAAGTAAAGGTGTAAAAAAGGTTTGTTAAAAAATGATGTTTCATTTATTTATTCGTATCTGTGTGTTAATTTTTGTTAAATTATTTGTTGTTTGATGTTTTTATGTTAGGCAATATGTATTTTGCTATTGGTCTCTGTGTATTTTTGGTTATTTGTTCGTCTCTGTCTGTTAAGACAGTGGCGACATTTTTCTGGTTAACATGGTAGTTTCAACTTTGTTTTAGCTTTCTGATTTTGTTAAAGTGAATATAGATCGATGTGTACATGGACAAAGTTAAGGCAGTGCGCAAAGATCTGATTTTTTTAAAGTTAAAATAGGTCGATGTGTATATAGACACCAAGTCTTTGACTTTTTATTTTGGTTTTTTGTAATGGCCATCTTGAAATTGGTGCCTATGCTTCTTGGCCCCGATTTTCGCATCAAAAAAACTATTCTCCAAGGAGTACTGTACAGTAAATTTTTACCAAATAAGTTATACCATAATCAGTGCGCAAAGATGGAGATTTGAGTTTTGTCTACAAAGCATGATGGTTTTACTAGATTAAGATATTGTTTCAACCATGCATATTTTTGACAAAATTATGCAAACTTTTATTTTTATTTAATTTTTCAAACTATTTAATATAAAGTTTAAATCAATAAAAAATGAATATGGCATACTTATGGTACTATATTTCACTTGTTAATAAACATTTGTATAGCAGGGCAAATC